AGAGACTTTCCAGGAGAGATTAGAGAGAATGGGAGAAGCAATATTCAAAGAAATAATGGCTGAGAATTTTGTAGAATTGATGAAATACCTATGTCCTCAGATTAAAGAACCATCCCCCCAAATTCCAAGCGGTATTTCTCCTTTCCCATCTGTACACAACTCATGAAACTACAAAGGCAAAGAGAATCTATTAAATGCAAACTGAGGGGGCAGATTACCTACTGAGGAATAGCAGGTAGACTGATAACCACTTTCCCAATAATAATCAGTTGAGGCCAGAATATACCAGAATAATGCTGAAAGAAAATTACTGTTAACCCAGAATTCTCCATCCAGTCAAACTCTTATTCAGAAATAAGCATGAAATTGAGATTTTTTCAGACAAAAATTTCCAATCACATTTTATCAAAGAACTCCTGTAAATTTTCCTTTATCATTATCATTCATAATCAGGGAAATATAAATCAAAACCACAATGAGATACCACCTCAAACCTGTAAGAATGGCTAAAATTAACAACTGAGGCAACAACAGATGTTGACGAGGATGAGGAGAAAGAGGAACCTCTTGCACTGTTGATGGGGATGCACCCTGGTGCAGCCGCTCTGGAAAACAGTGTGGAGGTTCCTCAAAAATTTAAAAATAGAACTACCCTGCAACTCAGCAATTGCACTACTATGTATTTATCTAAAGGGTACAAAAATGCTGATTCTGAGGGGCACATGTATCCCAGTGTTTATAGCAGCGCTATCGACAATAGCCAAAGTATGGAAAGAGCCTTAATGTCCATCGACTAATGAATGGATAAAGTAGATGTGGGGTGGGGTGTGTGTGTGTGTGTGTGTGTGTACATACATATGTATACACACACAAATATATGTATATATATACATATATATTCAGCAATCAAAAAGAGTGAAATCTTGCCATTTGCAACAACGTGGATGGAACTAGACTGTATTATGCTATGCGAAATAAGTTAGAGGAAAACAGATATTATATAATTTCATTCGTGGAATTTAAGAAACAAAACAGGGGCGCCTGGGTGGCGCAGTCGGTTAAGCGTCCGACTTCAGCCAGGTCACGATCTCGCGGTCCGGGAGTTCGAGCCCCGCGTCAGGCTCTGGGCTGATGGCTCAGAGCCTGGAGCCTGTTTCCGATTCT